CCTGGCCGCCCCCGACCTTCACTTGGACCCCGTTTTTGGGTCAACCCGAGGCCTTCCGTCTCCAAAACCACGGCCCCCCCTGACAAGGAGGGCGAACCCCTCCGCCGCGCGGGGGGGGGGGGGGGGGGGGGGGCGTCGTCCCGCGCCCGCAGGATGGGCTTTCGAGCAAGCCCTTTGCAAGCCCGGAAGGCTTCGATTGATGGGCTTGTTTTCCACCACCACCACCATGAGTCGGAGGGGGAGGGGTCCTCCTCCCCTCCTCCTCCTCCTCCTCCCCCTCCTCCTTTTCTCCTCCTCCTCCTCCTCCTCCTCCTCCTCCTCCTCCCCTCCCCCTTCCCCCTCCTCCCCCTCTCCTCCTCCTCCTCTCCTCCTCCTCCTCCTCCTCCTCCTCCTCCTCCTCTCCTCCTCTTCTTCTTTCTTCTTCCTCCTCCTCCTCCTCTCCTCCTCCTCCTCCTCCTCCTCCTCTCCCTCCCTCCCTCCCTCCCTCCCTCCCTCCCTCCCTCCCTCCCTCCCTCACTCCCTCCCTCCCTCCCTCCCTCCCTCCCTCCCTCCCTCCTCCTCCCTCCCTCCCTCCCTCCCTCCCTCCCTTCCCTCCCTCCCTCCCTCCCTCTCCGCACTCCTCCCTCCTCCCTCCCTCCTCCTCCTCCCCCTCCTCCCTCCTCCCTCCCTCCCTCCTCCCCTCCCCCCTCCTCTCCTCCTCCTCCTCCTCCTCCTCCTCTCCTCCTCCTCCTCTCCTCCTCCTCCTCCTCCTCCTACTCCTCCTCCTACTCCTCCACCTCCTCCGCCTCCGCCCCCTGCAGGGTGCCAGTAGCAATTCGACGCCGCGTGCGCTGCCAGAGAAAGGGAGAGCCGCGCCTCGTCGGGCACCCCAGCGGCATACACTCCGTGCCAGACCGCAGCAGACTGCGTCGGCAGACTGGCAAGACCGATCCGCATATCGAGTCGGTAGGTCGAATCGATTCGGCCTGTGCCTGGTGTCGGGCTGCATCGGCACGGGATCGGAATCGAATCGGATCGGCTGCGCCAGGATGCGCAGCGGCGCCTGCGTAACCATCGGGCCGCATCGGAGTGTCGCGAGTCGGAATCGAATCGGATCGGGCCAACTGGAACTGATATCGGAACGATCGGATCGAAGTTGACCCTGACTAGTGATCAAGAACAGAGTTCGCAAGGTGGAGCTTCATTCATGCCCGCCTGTCGCCAAGCACGCGCGTTGCGGCGTCCAGGAGTTTGTTGGGGGCGCTATAACGGCCAATGCCCCCCCCGGACTTGAAAGCATACGGCAACTGTGCCGCACAAGGGCGGCATTCGAGCGCATAGCCGTAGGACGGACCACGAGGTACTCGGTGCTGCTACTTTCGTGCACCATGAGCATCACGAGGCACAGCTCCTCAGATCTTGTCCGATAGCGCGTCGCATGACCGACTCAAAGTCCATCCGCACCGGATTCTACAAGTTCAATACACGTCGTTCATTTCAAATCGTGTTAATTTCTAATTGTGTTCGTTTCTAATTGTTCCTGGCACCCTAGTGGCCAGGAAGATGCCCAGGATAGAACAATTAGAAATGAAAGGATCTTGGCCCCCCAAAAAAATCAAGGAACTCTCGAAGCATTAGAAATGATCAATGTGTACTCGGTGCTGCCACTCTCGTGCACCACGAGCATCACGAGCGAGCTCATCAGATCGTGTCCACTAGCGGGCCGCATGACCTGCTCAAAGTCCATCCGCACTGGATTCTACAAGCTCAATGCTCTCCGCTGCGCAGGCGAAGGCGCGGGCTCTCGTGGCCAGTAACTGCTGCAGCTTGTCACGGCGCCTCGGAGCACCAGACACCGAGCTGACAGGAGCATCGCGGCTGATGCAACGAGCACGGCGAAGGTCGCGCATCGCGCTGAGAGTGCACGTGGTAGTCAGGCACAGGGCACCGTGAGCCCACCAACGAGAGATGAGGGACGGGCACGAGGAGCAAGATGAGGATAAGGATGAGGACGACGGCGGCGACGACGACGGCCAGGAAATCGAAGAGGAGGGTGAGGCAGCAAACGAGGGGAGGCGGAGGAGGAGGCGGCGGGCAATGAGGAGGAGGAGGAGGAGGAGGAGGAGGAGGAGGAAGAAGAAGAATCACAACTGCCAAGAGAGCACGGTAAACCGCGAAACGACAGGGAGAAAGCGCATCAAGCAGCACGGTGGACGGTGCAGTAGTGGCGAGGACAGGCTAAGAGCCACCCAGGTAAGCGAAGCAGGGAGAATCGGAACGGGGGGGACAGGGGGGGCTATTCGAGGAGCGGCGCATGTCGGCAACGCGCAGAGGGGGGTAGGGGGAGGGGTGAAGGCTTCTTAGAAGCGCCCCTGCTTCTTAGAAGGCGCGGGCCTTCTCTATAGACGTAAGGCCGAGGCCTTCTAAGAAGCAGGGTGATTCTAAGAAGCCTTCCCCCCTCCCCCTACCCCCTTTGCGCGCCGCCAAGCATGGAGTGATTGCGAAGGCCGAGATCTGGACAAGGAGGGTGCACGAGTGAGCTCTGCCTCGGTCCGCTGGCTGAGGGCTCGGTCCAACGACGCGAGCGCGTCCCCGCTGTGAGTGTTGGAGCCCTCGCAGATGAACGCGGTCACGGACTGGAGATTATGTTTACCATTCTTGGTTTAGCTCGGCTGGGCATGGCCTAGCCGGGCTTGGCGTCGCTCAACTCTGTTCAACCCAGCTTCGCTGAGGCCTTCAACTTAGCGCAGGCAGGCGTAGCTGAACAAACATGAGCTCAGCGCAACCCAGGCTCTCCCCCGCTAAGCTTGGCCCAGCTCGGGCAAGTTCCGATCAAACTTGCTCCGACTGGCTGATATTTACATTAGCCCTTCTCGGCTCAGCTCAGCTCGGCCCAGTCCCGCTCACACCAGCTAGCTTGTGCTGAGACGCGCCGAGCCGAGATGAGCGGCGCTCAGATGAGCTGATGTGCCTTGCTACCTTGATGCCTAGCTTGGCTCATCCTGGCCTGGCCACGCTGAGCCCAGAATCGCTGCAGCCTCACATTCATAGTGCGTTCCTGCTGCAGCCTTGATGTGTCGGCGCCATGCCATCTCTCGCTGTGTATGTGCGCAGGTTCCCTTCGAGCCCATCACGCAGGGCCGCGGCGTGCCTCCCTGTCTTGCGGCCGCCGCGCAGCCGCGGGTGCCCCGTCGGTCTGGAGGGAGGGGGCCCCAGACCCCCTCGCGCCGAGAAAGAGCCGCAACGGGAGGTTTCTGGTCAGTCCCCGATCGAGCATGCCCCCACCTAAGGGGGGCGCTGCGACAACAAAAACTACGGCGTCGGGGGTCTGCGTGGGCTCTGTGGCAAAACGGCTGGCTGCCGTGGTCGGGCCGCGGCCTAGGTCCAGCACGCGAAAGCGGGGCGGGCTTGGAAAAACAGGGATGATCGAACAGATCACGGCGTGCCCATCTAACTCCACCTCATCAGTGGGCTCAGGCCGCGCAACCCTGTCGGACAAGGGATCCCGTGGCTCCCCCCCAAGCTCTTCGACCTCCTCATCCCCATCATCAGCACCCCCCGCCGGGTCGGCGCCGCCATCGCGGCACCCGCCCGACGACGGGCACCCTGGGGCTATACCTCTTATATAGTACGAGCGGGCGTGCGCGGAGCCACTCGCCGCGGAGTCCCTGCCGCATCAAGAAGAGAGGAACCACTGAACCTGGTCCTGCTCACGCTCGGGCGCGCATCATCAAACAGCTGTGCGATGCTCGTGCCCTCCCCTGGCGTGAAGCCGCCACCAGGCCCACCGATATCAGAGCAAGTCGACACGCGCAAACGCGGCCTTGCTCTCGTCCTCCCCCTCGCTCCCGTCCGACCACATATCCAGCATCGTCCCCTGGCTGCTCCTCCACCTCTCCGTGACGGGGCCACGAGTCATGCAAATCCCCTGCCCCCCGCCAGGCCAGCGCCTCCATCGCGGCACCTGCCCGATGACGGGCACCGAGGGACCATACCTCTTAAGCGACGAGCGGGCGGGCACGGACTCACCCGCGGGGCGCCTGTCGCACCAACAAGAATGGACATCATAAGGTGCGCTGCAGCCTGCATGTCCTAGGGGAGGGGGGAGAGGGAGAGGGAGAGGGAGAGGGAGAGATGGGAGGGAGGGAAAACAGTGGGTGAGGAGGCAGGTGCTAGTACCCCTGCCACTAGCCCTGCTTACGCTCGGGAGCGCATCGTCAACAGCTGTGCGATGGCCCTCCCCTGCGCGCAACCGCCGCCAGGCCCAGCGACACCAGAACAGCTCGACACGCGCAGACGTGGCCTGCGAGGTGCCCGTGGGTGTCCTTGCCCATGTCGATCGTAGCCGATATCTATCCCCCCTATCGTTGCCCCTGAAAAACGCACTCCCAGACCTTTCGGGCCGGGGCCGCCAGTCGCGCAGTTGGCGGATGCCCCTTCGGCACTCTGCCCAGCAGCGGGCGCATGCGCGACTGGGCCTCTCGTGCGGCGGGCGCGCGCCCGCCACACGCCGACTGCAAAGCTGCACAGCCCTCCACCTCCTCCTACTCCTTCTACTCCTCCCCCTCCTCCTCCTCCTCCTCCTCCTCCTCCTCCTCCTCCTCCTCCTCCTCCTCCTGCTTCTCCAACCTCCCCGAGTGCAAAAAACGGCGCGATCCATGAGGAGTTTGGACGGGTCGCGCCAGGAGCGGCCACCTCGGGCCAACGAATTGCTTGCCAAAGTGCAGAGGGCGACGATCCTCCCGTCTCGTCCGCACGTTCAAACACCGATCGAGACTAAGCTGCGCTCGCTAAGGATTGCACCGCCGTGGCACCAGGCCCCTATTATGTTTCTGCGAGTTCAGCACACGACACCGAGACTGCACGTGTGGGAGTGGTCCGGCGCGGGGGCTGGCCTCTTAAACAGTCCGGACGTCCAGCCCCGATGGGCGAGTCGCCACCGACACTTAGAAGTAGCTGCAAGCCGATCTTCCTGGCTCCCTCTGCGTTCCCCTCCTCTCGTCATCCTCCTCCACCTCCTCCCCCCCATCCTCGGCAGGCAAGCATGCCCTGCGGGCCCCAAGAATATACACCCCGCATATCCTGACGGGGCACTCACCACGCGGGGGCGAAGGAGGCGATCGTCACGCTGCTCTTGGCGCTGGCCCCGAGGGTGCGGCAGCACCTCTCGGTGCCCGCGCTCCAGACCCGCGCCTGGCCGTCCCTGGACGAGGTGATCATCGTCTGGCCGTCTGGGGAGAGCATGGCAGAGTCCACCCCCTGCGCGGACACGATCAGCTTGTGCATGCACTTCCCGGAGTCTGCAGCCCAAATCCTCGCAATCCCGCGCGAGGAGGTGGTGACCACCGCCCGGCCGTCCGGCGAGAACTGGGCGGACGTCATAGTGCAGCTGGTGTCCTCCCACAGTGTTCGCAAGCACTTGCCCGAACTCGTGCTCCAGATCCTCGCCGTGCCATCTCCAGATGCGGTGACTGCGGCCTGACCGTCTGGAGAAAACACGACAGACTTCACGAAGCAACTGTGCCCACAGAGCGTCCGCAGACACTGGCCCGAGCTGACCATCCATATCTTTGCCGCACCGTCGCTGGAGGCAGTGGCAAGCAGGTGGCTGTCCCGAGAGAACGCCAGGTAGCTCACAGAGTCGCGGTGACCCTGCAAAGTGTGCAGGCACATTGTCGAACTGGTGCTCCATATCCTCGCTGCCTTGTCTGCAGAAGCGGTGGCAATGGCCAGGCCGTCGGGGGAGAAGACGGCGGAGGCCACGGCCGAGGCATGGCCACGCAGCGTGTGCAGACATTCGCGTGTGGTGACGCTCCAGATTCTAGCCGTGGTGTCTGCGGACGCTGTGACTACTGCCTGGCCGTCTGGAGAGAATACGATGGAGTGCACGGAGCGACTATGGCCCTGCAGCGTCCCCAGACACTCGCCAGACTTCGTACTCCAGAGCATCGCCGTGCTGTCGAGGGAGGCAGTGGCCAATACAAGGCCATCTGGAGAGAACGTGGCCGAGTACACGCCGTTCCTGTGGCCCTGCAGCACGTGCAGGCACTCGCCCGACGTCGCGTCCCAGATCTTGACCTCGCCGGCCATGGCCAGGGTGACGACGGGCGGGAGCGGGGACGCCACGAGGGTCAGTCTGTCGCCGTCGGTCACCCCGAGGGCGCCCAGGGTGGTGTGCCCGGCCAGCTCGGCCGCACCGAAGAAGACGCGGCGGCAGGAGCACGAGGCCGCGGCGTCGTCCCAGGGGACGCGAGCCAGGACGTCCTGCAGCACCCACTCGGGGCTGGCCGATACGCTTGTCTTGCGGCCGGCGAGCCCAGAGGCCACCGTGACGCGCATCCGGGACATGAGGCGGGCGGCGGGAGGCCTGGCGGCTGGACGGGACGGGCGAGGAAAAAAGTATGCAAATCACAGAGGAACCGAGGGTCACAAAAGCGCTTGGGCCAAAATGGCTTTGGACGGTGCATATGTACATGTACTGAGATCTGGACGTGGCCCGAGCGTGCATATATAGCCGCCAGTCTATTGCTGTATCCAGCGTCGCCTGAGCAAATTGCCTGCGGCTGGAGCTCGTATGCGATTCTTTTAACCTGATTCGCGCTCGACTGCCTGTGTGGTTCGCTTCCCTTTCTGACTGTTGCGCGTCCCGGGTGTGGCAACACATGCCCCCTTTTCCTGTTGCCCTTCTCGGCTGCCGCGCGCTCCGCACGAGTCCGGTGACAGCGAGAGGCGGTCAGGAACGTGGGCGCCCTAAGAAGGGAGAGGGAATGCAGGGAGCGGGGGCGAGGACGAGGAGAAGACGAGCAAGCACCCCTCCCATCCTCCCACTCCTCCGGGATGGGCCAATCTCCCACCACCACTGCCATGGGTAGGACACGGGGGAGAAGCGAGGAGGGGGAGGTCCTCCTCCTCCTCCTCCTCCTGCTCCATCCCCTGCCTGTGGCAGTGGTGGTGGAACATCGCCCCGTCACTCCTGCCCCTGCTGCTCACTCCCCTGCTCCCGCCGAGGGCAGCCGATGGCAGCCCGGCGCTCAGAAGAACGCGGGCGTCGCCATGATCTCCCGCGGCGTGGGAGCCCCGGAGCGCCGCTGCCGGCTCGCGGAGGCCTCCAGCTCCTCCACGGACTTGAAGTTCCCCTTCTTGATGATCTTGTCGATCTTCTGCCACTCCTGCTGCTCCGACATCTTCCTCTTCTTGGCCTCGGCCTTCTGGTTCGCAGACAGGCTGTCCCCCTCCGGGGCCCCCTTCTTCCCCGCCTGGGCGAGCTTCTGCAGCCTCTTGATCTTCTTCTCCGTCTCCTCCTTCTCGTCCTCCGCGTCGCTATCCCCCTGCTCGCCTTGGGTGGCAACTCATGGGAGACTCCCATCCCATCTTGTCGGCTCTTGCGAATCGACGCTAAATCGACGCTGATCGACGCTAACCGACGCTAAATCGGCGCCATCTCGTCGACTCCCAGACGCTACTCGACGCGGAAGATGGAATCAAGAGGGCACATCAGGCCCCCACGATTTGCTGCCGAACTCGCCCGTGCCGACCGCGGCGTTCCCCATCATGGCGCTCGGGAAGAGCTCGCCGTACGCGTCGTCGTCGGCGACTGGCGCGCCCATCCCCTTCTGCCCCGGGGCCTTCTTCGCCGGCCGCGCGGGCTGGCGCTTGTCGCGCGGGGCGGGCCTCTTGCCGGCGGCCGCCCCGCGGTCCTCGCAGTAGTACCCCAGCCCCTTGTCCCCCAGCTTGAAGACCCAGCCGGGCCGGGCGCCCTTGAAGGACTCCGAGGGCTCGAAGGCGAGCTCTTTGGGCTCGGCCACCGCTTTGGCCGCGCCGTCGTCGTCCCGATCGTCCACCTCCACGTCGTCCAACTCGATCTGCCCGTCTGGAGCCTGCAGGAACTTCTCGGAGCCTGCATCGTCGAAGTAGGATGGCTTCTTATCAGATGCTTGTGACTCTGTGAGTTTCGACTCCTTGACGGGCTTGACAACCTGGGTCGTGTCGAATCCCCCGACTCCCCCGAAAATGTCGTCCTTGTCCTTCGCCTTGTACTTGGGGACTATCTTCTGCGCGACTGTGAAAGAAACGGAGGCTCCGGCTGTTTTGTCCTTCTTTGCCTGCTTCTTTCTGTCGCTGGCACGCTGTAGCGCGTCGCGCATCCTGGAGACCGTCCCAGGCAAGACGCTGGCGACCTTTTTCGAAAAATCCACTTTGGGTGCGTCTTCCTTGCTCAAATAGATGATCCTAGGTATGTCCGTTGAGCTCTGGCTTGCATCTAAATCGAATTCATAATTCATCCGACCCTCAAGAAAAGTGGTGGGAGCACCACGTATGCGCTGTCCCATCGAGATTGCCTTACCCATTCTCCCAACACGTTCTCTAAATGTGGAATGGTGTGGGTGCAGCGTCTCAACCACGGTGTTCCACACTCGCCGTGCCATGCCTGTCTCAAACTCTCGCTTCTTCTGCTGCTGCTTCTTGCGCTCGGCACGCTGCTGCTGCGCCTCGTCGGCCTTCTGCTGCTTGGTGAGCTCGCCTCGGACCTTACTCAGGAGGGCGAAGTCCAGACCCTTGACGAGGTGAGTGTGCTCTAAGTCTCCTCCGAGGTACTTCGATTGATCCACAGCGACCTCCGCGTGATTCTCAAACTCGTTTGCTATAGTCTCGTACTCGCCTTTCTGCTCGCGGCGCTCCGCGGCACGATCTCTATACTCGTTGACAGGGCCTGCAGGCTGACCTCCAGTAGGCCTCTCGCCCTTCTTCGTTTCGCCCTTGCCCTTGCCCTTGGCAGATCCCTTCTTTCCTTTTCCCTTCTCACCATCTTCACCGCCTTTGCCGCCTCCCTTGCCTTTCTTCTTGGCTCCTGTTTTCCTCTTGGTCAGCTCGGACACGAGCTCCCTATCATTGGTCGTTAATAGCCTCTGGAAATCAGAATTGTTCATCAGCGATCAGCGCCAATAGGCGGTGCCCGCGTGCGACTTGGTCACCTGGCCCGGACGCCAGCCATCTCATGAAGCCCTGCGTGTCGGCGTCGGGGCTTGGGCCAGAATGGTGACGGGAATACCAAATGGCAACCGTTCATGTGTTGCGGGCATCGCTGCCGAAACCTGCCAAGGCTTACGATATTCTGGCACTCGCATGATATACATGCGCATGACAAGAGTTTGCGTGCGTGGACCCGGAGAGCAGGTTCGTGCAACCGGGATGTGGAGGCAATCTGGTGTGAGCTACTTTTGCGGTGCCAGTCTGCGGGCCGCGCAAGGAACCTTGGATCCGAAGAAGATGTTAGCCAGCGTGGGCCCCGACAAGTAATGCGCTGTACTCCATGCGGTGCAACCTAGGCTGCGCAATCAATGTGGAGCCGTCTAGGCGGTGCAGCCTATGTGGTGCTAAGCAACGTAAAGCCGTGCGAACCAGTGCAACGCAACCCAACGCAATGCAACGAGACGGAAAGCATTACAACGCAACGTCAAGCGGTGCAAAGCAATGCAATGCAACGCAATGCACTGCAGTGCAAAGCCGTGCGATTGCAATGCAACGCGCTTGCAGTACAGTGCACAGACCACAGGCGGCGACGGGCAGCGACGAGGCGGCGAGTGGCGACGAGGCGGCGACGGGGCGGCGACGGGGGCTACATAGCCGCCAGACCAGCACCGCCGCCCAATTTCTCAGGAGCACGGAACCCTACGCGCAAACACGGCTTGGGGAATGCAATGAAACGCAAGGTAACGCACAGCAATGGTACGTAACGCGAACCAATGTCAAGCAATGCAAAGCAATGCAAGGCAACGCAAAGCAACGCACAGCAATGCAAAGCAACGCACAGCAACGTAACGCAACGCAAAGCAACGCAAAGCTAAACAAGCGGTGCAACACAGTGCAAACCAATGCCGACGCAAAACAGTGCGAAGCAATGGCATGCAATGGCAAGCAATGGCAAGCAATGCAGAACAATGCAAACTACGACATAGAAACGCAATGCACAGCAATACGACTCAATGCAAAACAATACGCTGCAATGCGATTGCACAGCAGCGCGATTGCAATGCAATGATGCACAGCAGCGAAACGTAACGCAAAGCAATGCAAAGCACTGCAGTGCAATGCGAAGCAATGCAAAGCAATGCCAGGCAATGCAAAGCAGCGAAAATGAATGCGAAGCAATGCAAAGCGGGTAGCGACGAGGCGGCGGGCGGCGACGAGGCGGCGACGGCGGCCACATGGCGGCCACATGGCGGCCAGAGCGGCCCGTAGGCCCAAGCGACGGGCGGCGACGAACGGCGATGAAGCGGCGACGGCGGCCACATGGCGGCCAGAACGGCCCGCGGGACCAGTTCCGTAGAAGACGTGTACGAACCCTTAAATGCAAACACGGTTGGGGGATGATGTACCTTACATGCGCACTTCCTGCGTCTGCTAGCTTCCGCCAGTCTTCCGCTGGCTTCCGCCTGCGGTGCCGCTCCCGTTCTACGTCCGCGGGCTGCCGCCAGCCATCCACCACCCTCCGCGGAGGAAGAGCTGCCGACCCTGTCGCCCCATCGGGGGCCACGCCCCTTCGGGAGCGCCCCGTGCGGTTTCAGCTGCGTGGCGCGAGCTACCTCATAATGTAGAGTAGCCTACGCGATGCAATACACATACATGTGGTTATATGTACACGCATACACAGCCGTGACAACAATTTCTTCAATTTGCTATGATGAAGATTTCTTCCATCCCTCTCAAGATTCCTAAAATGACATGATGCTGGGATCATTCGGCGGAGTAGTTTCCGATCCCGGAAACTACTCCGCGCCATACCATATAAATTACCGAGCGGGATGAGATTGCGCGCGGAGTAGTGTTAGTAGAACTACTCCGAACTACTCCGCACGAGCGCGTCATTCCAAAAGGCAGATTGAAAGAAACTTTCGTCACGGCGATGTATATACACATGCGCGTATGCAGGTGGTGCAAAACATGTAGCGCCCGCGGGGCGCCCAGGTGTGCCCGCGGACGGCCACTGGGCGAAAACCAAGGGACGGCAGTCGGCGCGCGAGGCACCCACGAGGCGCCCCCCGACGGCCGCCGGGCGAAGACCCAGAAACGGCAGCCAACGCAAGAGGTGCGCATGGGATGCCCACGGGCGCTCACGTGCGGCCTCTGGGCCAAGACCAGGACGCGGCAGACTATCTCTCAGAAGCTGAATATACGAATCCCACAGCGCAGGCACTCATTTGGGAATGTGGTTAGCGGGGTGCCACGGCTACATTGTAAACCCTCCGGATTTCTGTCAGCAGAGCGTCCAAGACGGTCCAGAAGGCTCCTGAATAAGATGTCACCAGGGCGGTCCCCAAACTCCCAAGAGAGGTTCTAGGCGCCCCCCAAGATGGGGAACTCGAACTGAGGTTTGGCCCCAAGTAGCGCCCAAGAGGCCCCCCAATGCCCCAGAGGCGCCCCCCTCCCCCAAACCCCTCCCCTCCACCTCTTTCGGAAAACCGGGGGGGCCATTGCCGGTTCGAACCCCCCCCACTCCAGAAGCTTGGGGGGGTCATTACCGGTTCGAACCCCCCCCCTCCGGAAATTCGGTTGAGGTCACTACCGGTTCGAGACCCCCCTCCCCTCCAGAAAACTGTGGGGGGGCCACTGCCGGCTCGACCCCCCCCCCTCAAAAAAAACCAGGGGGGCCACTGCCAGCTCGAACACTGCCCCCCCCCTCCAGAAAACCGGGGGCGGTCACTACCGGTTCGAATCCCCCCCCTTTCAGAAAACCAGTGCTCCCACCTCTGTCGCACTGTCCCCACTGTCCCCGCCACTGTTCCCACCGCGGTCCCACTCTCCCCACTTTCCCCGCGGCCCCCGCCACTGTCCCAGTCCCCACTGTCCCACTGTCCCCGCCGCTGTCCCAGGCTGTCCCACTGAGCTGTCCTACTGTTCCCAACACTGTCCCCACTGTCCCCACCGCTGTCCTCACCGCTGTCCCCGCTGTACCTCTGCCCCCTTGTCCCACCGCCGTCCTCGCCACTGCCCTCGCCACGTCCCACCACCATTGTCCCCACTACGGTCCCACTGTCCCCACTGTCCCCGCCACTGTCCCACTGTCCCCACACTACTGTCCCCACCATCACCGTCCCCACCACTGTCCCACAGACCCCACCACTGTCCCAATGTCCCCACTGCCCCCACCATTGTACCCGCTGGCCCCACCAGCGCCGGCGCCAGTGTCTCACTGTCCCCACCAATGTCCCACCACGGTCCCGCTCTCCCCGTTCCCCCCGATGCCCCCACCACTGTCCCACTGTTCCCACCACTGTCCCACTGTCCCCAGTGCCCCCGCCTCTGTCCCAGTGTGCTGTCCCACTGTCCCCAATGTCTCCGCCATTGTACCACTGTCCCCGCTGCCCCCACCACTCTCCCAACTGTACTACTGTCCCACCACCGTGCTCACCACCGCCTTCACCACTGTCACCACCACCACCGCCCCCACCACTGTCCCACTGTCCCCACTGTCCCCACTATTGCCCCGCTGTCCCCTCGCCATTGTCCCCACTACCACCGTCCCCGCCGCTGTCCCACTGTCCGCGCCACTGTCCCACTGTCCCCACACCACTGTCCCCGACACCACCATCCCAACAACCGTCCCATTATCCCCACCATTGTCCAACTGTCTCGAGGAGCGGGAATAGTTTGCTGGCGGGGAAAGGGGGGGGAAGGCGAAGGGGGGGGGTCCGAACCGGCAGTGCCCCCTCCCCCCTTTGCATGATGGACTGGGGGCGGAGGGGGGGGGGCGAACCGGTAGTGCCCCCCCTGTTTTCGATGGGGGGGGGGGACGGGTTGGGAACCCCCAGTGGCCCCCCCTGGTTTTCCGCCAGCAGCGGTAGAACACGCCGTTTCAAATCAGCAGGGCCAGTTTCGGCTGCTCAGAGGATACTCGTCGAATTGCTCACGCTGCGCGCAAGTCTAATCGCAACGCCATATCATCCAGTCCACGACGGTAGCGCGCGGTCGACCCTCATTGTGCACGTTGCACAAATCACATCGCCATTGACGAACGCCTCTGCTAAAACGCGATAGCGCGCGATGCCGCCACCAAGTGCGGCGAAACAAGTAACGGTGGCGCCACGCAGCGCATCGTGTTTTCCAACCACGAGCATCGCACGTTCGCCTGGCCAATATCGAGAAAACTATGTCCTGACGATTTTTGGAATATTTCGAACATAAGCATGACAAATCCCTTCAAAACTTTGTTTCCAGTACTTTCCAATACTCATCCTGCTGAGGTACATGCCCGACTGAAACGAACCCACCCGACACCAAGCGCCCACGAGGCGCCCACGGGTGCCCACCAACCGGGCACCCATCCAATTTCGTACGGAAGAAAACTGCAAGTGAGGGAGCCAGACATGATAACCCCTCAGAGCACGGCTTGCTTGGGACATCAGAAGTCCGCATCGGACTTTGAGTCGGCGCTTACCCCGATCTCCTCACCCTCTTCTCAGCGCGCGCTGGAAGCGGGGCCAGAAGCGCCGCCAGTGGCGCGGGAAGGAAAGCCCAGCGCCGACCAGATTCGCGCGGACCTCCGAAAACTTACGCTGTTGCTGCGCGCCGGCACCGACCATAGCTGGGCCCATGCCCGGCCAAGGACTAGGGCTAGGGCAAGGTCACCCCTGGTCGCAGGCAGGTCCAGAAAGGACACCCCCCCACACACACCCACTCACATATGTTCCCCAATCGGAGCTTGCCTCTGTAGGGGTCCTAGCGGATTCATATGGTTAGGTTATGTTTGCCGCCGATTTTCGCCGCACGCCCAGGTGCCCGGGTGCCCGGGGGTGCCCGGGGCCCGGGTGCCCGGGGGGTGCCCGGGGGTGCCCGGGTGCCCGGGTGCCCGGGCGTGCCCGGGGGTGCCCGGGGGTGCCCTATAGCCCTTTAGCCCTAAGCCCTATAGGCCCTATAGCCCTATAGCCCTATAGCCCAATAGCCCAATAGCCCAAGAGCCCTGTAGCCCTACAACTCTATAGCCCTATAGCTCTATAGCCCTATAGAGCTCAATAACCCCTAGCCCTATAGCCCTGATA